AATTTGAAGTTTTTTTATTTTTTGCAGATCAACCGAAAATTATAAAAGACTTCTAACTCCATAATGGAAGGTCGTAGAGGCTTGAGGAGAGGTCTCATTTTGTAGAGCATTGTGCACTCTATACGACCAGGACCTCTTCTTAAAATCGAATTTTTATCCGAAAAGAGAGGTGGGATACCCTTAATTCAGTTGCTTTGCTTATTTAGCTGAAGATATGAATATTGCTCCGTTAAAATGATCATGTCGAAAAAATTGCCAAAAAATCTCAAAAAGTCTTAAAACTGTCTAAGTTTTCGTAACATTTTGGACGTTTTTAAGTATTCATGTAGAAATTTGAGAGTTCTTTATATTTTTCGGCAATTTCTTTTCAAAATAAATGTGACTTCTTGTACTTTTCATGTTTAGGAAATATATCGCAATATTTTAATAAAATTAATACATTGACCTGTCATTTACATGATCATTATCCAAAAATTTATGAAGAATTTGGCAGTTTGTCATCGACAAGCATCTTTCCGTTCGAAGATTTCATTGGTTATATTGGCGACGGTCATTATGGCTCTCGCAACATAGCAGAGCAGCTTATTTTTTACTACTCAATCGATTTTTTCGTAAATAATGCCGTTGACAATCGACAAGACAGTTTTATAGATCCTGACTCATATGAAATGATTGACATTGTTAATGTGGATAAACATGACAAGCGTATTATACTCCATCATAATTCTGTGTGTGATTGTCATGATGTACGTAATTGTGTTGTTGTCGGATCACGTTTCATCATCCACAGTAACATGTTCCACTCTTTATTGTACAAGAAGCGTCAGAAAACAAACAGCTATTTTGTAATAGCTAGACTCAAAACTAATTTAATCTTCGGAAAAATTCTATTTTTCTACTTAATCAAGGATCACGATTCCTTCGCTTTAACTCAGTGACATGAAGAAATTCATACTTTTTCTGATTTTTTTAAAGATACGCCGTTTTATTCGTTACTTCGAAAACCTTCGGCTATGTTTTTTTATGTACTACATAAGTGTCCTTTGGATACTAACCTTTCTGTACCCGTTTCTTCAATCACAGGCCATTGTATAGTCTTTGAAAATGAGAATTCACTCATTGTAACTAATGTATCCCGATTAGATGAACATGATTAATTATTATTTGGAGAATAAATTGTGATAATAAACTTAACGAGTTTTACACACATCTGCCTAACTTTATAGCTCCAGCCTTCCAAAACTAGAAAAAGAGGTTGGCGAACTTATATATCATAATACACTTAGCTTTCGTCGACATACTTACCAGATCTCTTATCCTAGACATACAAATAGATGTTTTTTTCTGGTGTATACTTTCAGATTAATTATACCTGACATTATGGCTACTGGTGATACTGAACGTTCTAGACGGGCTGCTAAGCCACCCGCTATTTACACGCCGGATGATTCCTTTTTATGTGTTATGGATGCGCAAAATCCGACTGATTACACATGTATACATAATAGTATTATTGCAAAATCAAGTGGAAAACGAGTTCTGGTGAAAGATGGGAATACAATGTCGGAAAAGATCATTATAGCCAGAGGTATTATGTCGGTTATTTCAAGGGAACTCCCCAATTACCGCCTCGCTGCTGACCTAAAACATAAATTTGCATGTGTTTTGTTTAGACTAGCATATTGAAGATCTGCTCACAAATCTCAAATCTATTCGTACTCACAGTGAGTATTTTTAGAGTTTTTTCGGAAAGACAGTCTCTGGAGACCTTGCTGTAGGGCGGGACGAAGCCATTTTAAAACGGTATTTTATAGAGCCTCAAAAGTTGAACATATATTGAAACTTTCATGCTTCTAGGATGGGGCTAGTTCGAGCTATTGCATTTCAACATATTTCGAACGCGTATTTGCTGTTGGAACTAGAACTAAAGGTTAAATTACAGTTTTCGCCTGTCACTCGTAGTGCTCAAGTTTACAGAAGAAACTCATTCTTTTTAATGTTCTATAAAACAGCCAACTCAAAAAGTTTTTCACCACACTAAAATCGAGGTCTCCAAAGACTGGCGCGTTTGTATGTTCCTACAGAACACAAAGTCTGATATCAGCCTTTGTGTTGTCTATAAACTTACATTCCTCTGTTTATATTTCATATAAATCCGCATACACTAGGAGTTTCATAAAATGTATGTTTCAGCCCTAAAACAACGTGGCAGTTGAGGATGTTCCCTCGTACGGTAGTCAAGCTATGTAGCAATCGCTTGTGTTTTGTTTAGACTCTGAATCGGCTATGACAAAAAAAGCTCAAGTACTCAGTCGTGTTGCTTCACAACCATTGGAAGAAGAAGTAAGTGGAGACGATAACGATGGCAATAGTGGTCGTAGAAGTGGAAGTGGTGCTATCATGTCAAGTATAAGTATGGCTTTGTATACCAAAATCGTGCAACCTTTCGGTCATTTTTAGACTTCTCTTCTTTGCTACAAAAACCCGAATATAATCCAAAGTTTTAAAACTCCTAAGCATTCGTTTTGCGATGTGTGAATTCTAAAGTAGGGATTTATTAAGACCAGAACCTTGATGGTATCGGTATCAAATGTCTCGAAACTTTTTTAAGAAGTATCGGTATCTGCATCGAAGTGTCAATAATCCCCGGTAAGCGAAGACCATCGATTCAATCAATGCTTGAATATGTTTGTGAGAGCATGTAAACGTGTTCGCAAAGACATTGTTTGTGAACAATGTCTAGGATGTAAACATCAAAATCCTAGCACTTCCGAGTTCCATCTTGACATTTTCATCCCGAGAGTCCCTTTCAAATATTAATTGAGTTAAACGTCAAGATTTCACTTCTCTTGAAAACTGGACTAATCCAGAGTTGGAACTGGTTGAAATTTTCCAACCAGTCCTGTCCGATCGGTCGAGAAAACTTTCAATCGATAAAAAACCGGCAAAACCTGCACGGTTCACACAATTTTTTTGGCTGGCAAAAAGCCGGCAGCTAAAAAAAGATGTTTCTTTGCAGACAGCAAATATTCTGTACGTTCCTATTAGAAATGATGCTTAACCGCAATAGTTCAACCGAAGTTTACCGCGGTAAAATTTTGAAGTTTCTGCCGTAAGCCGGTAACCGTAAAAAGTGCACAGGTCCTAGTCGTATAGAGTGCACAATGCTCTACAAAATGAGACCTCTCCTCAAGCCTCTACGACCTTCCATTATGGAGTTAGAAGTCTTTTATAATTTTCGGTTGATCTGCAAAAAATAAAAAAACTTCAAATTTTTTTTCATTTTAGCAGAACGGAAAATTTGTATGAGCCGACAGCTTTCTAGAGAAAATTGTTGTCTATAAACTGCGATGGTTCCCAGCGTTCCTGGTGCAATTTTGACCGATTCATAGTTTTTCTACAAAAACAAGCATTACTTAACGCAATTTTCAATGCGTAAAACGAAAAATTCGCTAACATCCTCAGCCCCGGTACATTACGAGCCTCACGAAATTTCATTCGATCGAACTGAGATTTTCTGAAAAACTCTCGAAAAACTTGTCCAAAGCTCAAAAATTGCAAAATAGTGTGAAGGTATAGATAAAACCAATAGCTGGTAAAAATTTCAGTCCAATCTCATTTACAAATGCAATATAACCGCGGACTTGAAAAAGAGGGAGGATGCTCTTAAAAGAGGACTTCTCACGCCAGAGCTAGCTTCCTAGGATAAAACTACCTTAGGCAAACGACTCAATTTAGTTCCGTTTATAGGTACGAATTAGCTGATGAATTATCTAGCCCAAGCGGGAAATAGCGGACTCCGGGACTCCCGAGCAATTAAAAGTTACTACCGTGTTAACTAAACAATACACTCTGTAATTAATTAGTAGCATGAATGTGGCCTGCCATTATAGACTAACTAACGCGCGTGCATATTGATTGCAGTAATTATCTTCATTCTAGTAAGCTGATTCCACTAACTAGTACAGGAGTATATTCATTCAGGTAGCATATATACTCTTAGGCTAATTAGTATTAATATGAGTATGCTCTTACATTACTTACTGTAATCAATATCTTGATTCGGATAATTAATGTGAAGGATTTTACCAGTTAGTACCTGAGTGTGTTAGTTTCAGTAATTAACATTGGATTGCTTCATGTATAACAGAAAACCTGTAAAGGACTCCATCCAAGGTGGGTAAACGGGATTTGAAATATTCATGCCACGCAATCAACTAATTATAAAGTTTTCATATCCGCTTACCGAAATCGTTCAACGTAAGTCGTCTACAATCAACCATGATTTCAATAATGCGGCATGGAAATCAAATCATAACAATAATATAGAATAATTCGTCGATCAACTGTAAAAAAGTAAATGAAAAGCTCAAGCAAACACTCCTATTTATAGCCGATCATACCACTGCACAGCTGCATAACTGTCTATCTAACTGTCCATTGTCTACATAACTGTCTGCCATCTGCACAAGATTATCCAGGGTATCATCCAGGGCATGTCTGCCATCTACACAAGATCATTCAGGCCAAAAAAGATTGATTTCGATAGCAGCGATGGGCGCCGGTTAATTAGTATTGATCTGAGATCATCAATAGTTTTTTACGTCTTGACATTGTGTTTTTGGTGATCGGCGTAGCAACATACTGATTTTGGTAATTAAAATTGGCAGCAACTTAGACGTTAATTTCTAATACAAGTGAGACTACTAAAAACACTATCATGCAATCTTAATTAGCAAGTTAACTATTGATGGTCCCAGGGTAAGTAGAAGAGCGTTTTGGTGAGAGGAGTGGATGGAATGGAGGTGGTAAGCTAATTTCTCCCTTAAGTAAAGCGCCGCTTATTATAGAGCTCAGCAGATTTCCATGTTTGTTTTTCTTATACATCATCCGATAGATAATTTCACGCTGATCGGGAATATCATCTTTCAGCCTCTTCGTTTTCATGAATAGATATTGGATAAAATTTGTTTCATTCCTGAGAAGGTACATTTTTTCTGAATCAGGAGCGAAAAAATCCGAATTCTCTAGTTTGTTCATCAGAACTCACGTTTTATGCAATAAAAATATCATGTTCGGAGTCAGCGTCGAAAACTGAGCGAAGAGGGTGACATTCCTCATCAGCTTGAAATTGTCTATCGAATGATGTATAAGAAAATCAAAAATAAAACTGAGCTGAGCTTCTGAATTAGCGGCGCTTTATGAAAGCCCGCATGTCCTGTATTATTTTTCTGTTTAGATGATGGTGAGCATGATTCAGCATTGATGGAGGAATAACGGACGTATAAACGTATTTTATCATTTTACTTTTATTTTTTATTTGTTATACGTTTTTTATAATTGTTGCGCTGGTTGTTTTAAATAAATGAATACCATGAAAAGTTGCAATAGTTCGAACTCAAGTAGTTCCTTATATGCCTATACTCTTCAAACCAGGGATAGTTTCTCCAGCTCCTACTGTTCCTATAGTAAGCAGGAATCCCATAGTTTCAATGCATGAATTTCGAAATAAATGCAATTTACATAAAGCAGGGAGGCAGATAAGCCCATTTTCCATCCCTTAATATTTTTGAACGAGAATTACATATTCGCAATCAGCATCAAATTCGACATCGAATGACATATTTGATCCACTCTAAAATCGAGTTTCATTTTTTTCCAAAAATTTTTGTCTCTATGACCGATCCCTTTGAAACTTTGAAAAACTTTTTTCTCAAACTTCAACGAGATATATAATCTGATGCAGAATTTCATGCTCCTTGCGAATATCAGATCGAAAGTTGAAAAACGTCGATTCTTGACCGAAAAAGTCGAGTTTTACCAGAAGATGGCGTTCGTGACCTAATTGAATATATGCAGTTTTAGTGCATCAAGATGCTATTTGATAATATTCAAAATCAGCTAGATACTGTATACTCAAAAGCGTATGAGCTTTTGGAACATTATGTTTAAAATGTTCCAAATGTTGATTTTCATTGTAGAAATCGCTTTAACCTTGAAAAATCCTAAAAAACCCTGTACTTCAAACTTTTTCGATCGATTTTCAAAGAATTACAGCATTTGAGATTTGGCCGAGGGAAAAGTCTAGCAGAAAAACTGCATTTTTGAAAGTTTTATTTCTCAATACACATATCTCACATAAATTTAAATAATATACCATTTTACTCAGAATTTGATGTTCTATCGACCCGCAGATTTTACAAAAATTCCGAAGGTTTTCTAGAATGCCTTAGGCTCTAAAACCGAGTTTCTGGAAAAAGCGTATTTTATTTCCGAGTCAAAGTAGGTTCATTCAAGAGAGCATTCGAAACTGTGTATTTCGTATCATTTTCGCATTGTCATTGCTTCTCGTTGGATTGTGAGGAAAAAAATGTGTAATCTAGTACTTGGTTTTTCAGAGTTTTCCAAGGCTAAAGCAATCTCTACAATGAAAGTCAACATTTGGAACATTTTAAACATAATGTTCCAAAAGCTCATACGCTTTTGAGTATACAGTATCTAGCTGATTTTGAATATTATCAAATAGCATCTTGATGCACTA